ACCGAATTTGATTGGATCGGACAGTATTCCTACCCGGAGTTGTCACGCAGGGCATTTTTATCCGAGTTGGCTTGACTTGGGTTGATCCTGTGTGTAAGCTCCGTGGATCTCTTTTAACGTAAATCTTATCTCGGTCTAATTACTCGNGTTATTCACAATCCCAGTTGAGTTGAGCAAAACGTAAGCACCTTATAGTACGCGATACGTATACGAATATCCATGCGGTTCTGTAAGAAATAACCAACATTTAGTACACGTAAATGGGAGATTGGCATACATCGATAGTGAAAGGGGNTACTCACATCAAGATTTCCCGAGTCCGCGTAAATAAACAACGTAACATGACCCACAGAGATCGTACCTAATAGTCCGGTGTGCAGTCGATTGTGTGGGACCCTAGTCACCCAGACTGATGGGCTAATGTTACAGGGTCAAGTACATAGATTGGCTGGGTTCACGAATGCGCGAATGGGTCATTGACGAGGTGACAGGCGCGGTGAGTGCGTGTATGGTCATATGACTGGTTGCCTTGTCCTGGTGCTTGTCGGCGGCGCACAACGGGTAAGCGCTGTCACGGTGTGCGTGCGTGTGTTGCGTGTCACATGACTGAATCAACGGGTGTGAACACGTGTGCAGGTAGGATGGGCAGATGTGTGTGGGGTATGATAGCACCCGGTCGGGAAGCATGTCGGCCGCTAACTGAAAATTCACTAGGACCACGTCGTAAATCTTTGAGTTTACACTGATTTAATTCAGTTATTATTCCAACTCATTCTCCGAAATGAGTTCTTTCTCCAATCCATCGTTTTCCTCCCTGAATTCCTTTTAATGATTTGCGCATTTTCATCAAAATGTTATAGCTATTTCTTGTCACTCGGCGAATAGTTTTTGCAATAGTCCCACCCTATCAATTGAGTTACGAAAGATGGTATTTGAGAAACTTGAAGCATTCCCTAACTGACGTAGTGATTTGAAGAAAGAACACAAAATTGTGAGATGACAATATGTTTCCATTTTATTGCGTCTTAACTGGTGCTACGTATAGAACAAAAAGACTATCGATAATTACGATTGAGGAACACAGTAGAAATGAAAGACAGTGCACCAGTCTAGTACATGTCACCGAAGCAGAGCCAAAGTCATGTAAAGAGTTCTTATCACCAATGAATCACCTCCGCAATCAAATCTTGGGACAACGTAGAACACCATGATCACCTGTTGCTAGCGCCTTCCTCACAATAGAGAGCCAGTTACATAAATAACCCAGCTCAACACAAAGTCAGTTCAATGGATAGTGGGCAACCATAACCGAATACTAATAGAACACACAACATTCTGACCTCACTAATCTTTCACCCTATATAATTGAGGGTCCACCTGTCTCATCCATTGAACTTTAACTATCGTTTAACCCATTTCTCTCTACTGAATCAATCATATTTGATCAGCAGTTTTCTTGCTTATCGTTATTAACCGGACTGGATACGGACTGTTTGTTTGCTTGTTTCGGAACCCTCTAAAACTTGCCTAACCGAATTGGATGGTTGTCTTCCTATCGCTCAATCCAATTCATCATTTTCAGTTCATACAACAAATAATGTAGAACTTTGTTCCCCCGTGGCGAAACTTGGTGTTTCCGGGTGTACATCGGATCACATTCCCTGTCCTCGTCTCTTGGAGTGTGTGTATGTGTTTCACCGTGGAACTTGAAGTAAACCAATACAATATGGCCAACGAATCTAAATAACTCCCGCTTTATCGGGTTGAAGTGTTCGCAATATACTACGGTTTTGTTTACAGATCGAGGAAGACGCGCTTGAAGTTCGGAGGACCATGTGTGTCTCAATCCCCCATGCAATTTGTTTGGCATCAGTCTTCGATCTTTGGTATGTGTGCGTGCGTTTACGTGTATTCCACTACAGAGACATCATACACTAATCGGTCACTATTGCTGAATCACTTGGTCCCGACCAATTCTTATCCATCAACCTGAATCGCCACAATACATCAGGTCAAAACTGTGATGAGTTATGATTCGGTATCTGATTCTTAGTCTGTCAGTTCCCGCTGAGTTTACGTTTTGTCGGATCAACTTCTTGTGCACCCTCCCCACAAAAATCCACATTCCCTTTGAAAAGTTTCGCTAAGATCGTATTGAATAGCCAGTAAATGACTAGTTAAGTTTCTGCAGTCAAGTCACTCTTTTAGCTCGATAACCCTTTGGCGTATTTAACTGCACCGAATACCAATTGCATCCATAGGTAAATGGATTTATCTCTTGCTTTTTAAACTACGAAATGATAATCATGATTATCTAAAGAACAAACGCGTTCACGAAAGGTCTATGTCGCTATCCTGTGTGGTAAGTCTGTCCAGGTAATGCTTTAGCTTGTGTGGACAGACATTGCCACGTAGTTGTCCTGTCGTACACACCCGTTCTCTGTTCTACTTCCCAATTTTCGTATATTGCTGCATCCTCTCTCTGTTGCTCTGTACCGGATATTAGCAATTAAATTTCACTTTTTTCTCTGACACGTGCACGTGCTGACTATTGTATGCGTAGATCAGCGGTACACATTTCCATCGTTCTAGCCGCACTCCGTTTGCTGGGACACTCGCTTTCCATTCTCTCTCTCTCTCTCTGATTATGCGTCATCACATTCCACACAGTTGTTGTTTATGATAGCACGTGGAAAGCTGTTTCCCACAGCATGTTTGTTGCATCGTTTCTCTACCATTCCACCTACCCCTTTGAGTGAATGGATATTACTTTCATTAGAATGGAATGGTATAAAGACCCGGAATAGAATCTAAGCAACAGCTTTGTGCAGTTTGCTCTGTCGAATATAGACTCTTAATATAAAATTGGAATGGAATTATTTGAATCTAGTGATATTGTTAGTGTGTTGAATATGGGACTGTAACAGTTTTGAGAAAATAAGGACTAGTGTGGCTTCAGTACGCCCTAGTCAAATATAGTGTTTGTGTGAATAGTTGAGTAAGTTTTGCCGGGACGGATCGCGGATCGTTGGAAAAAAAGCAATATAATCATAATTTGCTAGTGCGCGGTATATGACTAGATTAGCCAAAGCAGGTGAATTTTCTGGGAAAATTAAAAACCGGAGCATTTGGTTTACCAAATCCTAACCCATGTGTGGTTGCTTGAAATCCACCAATGATATTGCCAACGCTCGTTTGCGGGACCAGTTCCGCTACATGTTTCACTTTTGCGTATATCATATTAAACAGTTTTGGTGGAACAAAACAATCCAATATGTTGAAGAAATTAATGTCCATAGTTATCCTCCGGTTTTTATTCGCCGAATAGTATGATGAAACTATGTGTAGTATACAATGTTTTCTTAATTTCCCTGTAGTTCTTGCCGCAGTATCTGGTAGACTCACAACATTCTTAGAGATTGTATGATGAGATCGATCACCGCCGGAGTTGCCCTATTTCATTCGTTTCACTTTATGAGGGACGAATTTTTCAGTCTGTCAGAAAATTTAGCTTGTTTACTAGGGTAACAAGTACACTACCTGTAGCACAGAAAATGAGAAAGATTTTAGGAATAAAAAAGATTCATTCACCTAGTTCACAGTGCTTTCCCTCTCATTATTGTACTGATTTTCACAGAATGGCGAGAGTTTCTTTGTTTTTGATATTCCGTGTACGAACTAGGTTATTTATTTGTTCAAGCTATTTCTATTCTGTTCATTTATGCACTGATTCAATCTAATATCTGTAAAAGTGATTGGTTTCACACACACACACAATTGATTCTACCACGACAGTTAGTGGTCACAACTGTTCCAGTAGATCATAAGCTGCGGGGTCTACTCCGGTCTCGAATGTCATCAACCAACGTAGTTTCACGGGGTTCATTGATACGCGAACAACGCTTCAAACTGCTGCAAATCTGACTGCACTATCCACTTAGACTTTCCGTCGTCACAGCTCGCATCTTGGTTCACGTGAACAATGCAGGGCAAGTTTGTGATCTGTCACACTCGTTCAACTTGTCTAACTTCCACTGTGTTCTAGCCGACAATCCTTGGCTCTGGACTCGGTTGGCCAGAACATCCGCTTTTTGCTTCAAACCGGCTGATGCACGTCAGTTGCGCTTCAGCTTGGTGTGTTTGTGCTGCTTTTTTTTACAGATTCTCTGTATCATTTATCACTTATTTGCACAGGTACCGTTTTCTCTCCCCCTCCCTGCGCACACATCATCATCACCTTATCATAGGTTTTGTCACTTGCCTCGACATACAGTGCACATTCTGATACAGAGAAAGTCAATTCATTGACCTGTGTAAAATATACTCCAACCACAATCTAAATGTTGCACCTCTGACCTCATTACTCGTCCCCTTGCTCTGCTTCCGCTATGTGGACGACAGTTCTCAATTCGTAAAGAGAAATATTCACTTAAGATTCAATCCTATGTTTACAAGGTTAAAGCTTTGATAAATGCGGGGCTCATTGTTTCTTATCTGTGATGTCGGTAGAAAACGACAGTCTTCCGCCAATGAACATGACTCTTGTAGCCATATTTGCTCCTTCCCACTTTACGTGAATTCAAGCCCCTTTTACCGTTCGAAAATAGAATAGTCACATGACTTGATCTTTTTCTGTCATCTGATTGGTCCACTTTGTCTGATGGAAATAAACAAGATATGTCAAGTTTACATTTGGAAACAGTCTCGATTCGTTTTTTTCAATTCAGATCAAACAATGATTGTGTCTCTGCCTGTCCGTCTGTCTGTTTCATTCTTTATCTTTAATTTATCACTCATTTCATCCATATGCTACTCAGAAAACTGGTTCAATAGGATTTTCAATTTAACTCTTAAAAACAAGAAAAATTCTCCAACGTTTCCATGTTGAATAACTCAAACATGAAATATTGCACTAAACAAATTGTCTGAATTAATTTGAGTTACATTCTCTGTCCGTTTTCATTCGCCTTCCTTGCCATTCATCTCCTCCCACTGGTTCAATGTATTCACTTCGGCTTGCTAACGATAGCAATGATTTAGAGCTTCCCAAACGTGCACCCGGTCTCGGGGATATTGTGGACAGTAGCATGGAAAGCGATAGTGACGTTTCCGTCTCACCATCCGTGGATGGAATGAAAGAAGATCTGGATCCAATGGCTACATTGAAGGCCCCAGAACAATCCTCCACACAGTTCGGTGTGTCGACTACGCCAAATGGAGCACGGTCCACAGAGGTATGTATGTCCTCGGCTACTTTCATGTACTGGTTTTTGATGCTAAGCAGTGAATACCAGCACGATCTCTCCCTATTTAGTGACCACATTCACACTCGCACGTATGCACAAATATAGGGTTATGTTTTACAGAGAGATAGTATGCTAAACGAAAACCCGCCATATCCTCAGACATTTAGACTGATTCTTCGCCGTCATTACTTCCCTGAAACAACACGCACACATTCCAAGCTAATCGCTTCTCTCTTATGCTCGACCCAAAGACGCGCCTGTTAGTGCCCAATCAGTTTCTCGTAGACTAATATTGACCAATGCCCAGCGTTTCTAACTGAGTTGTTCGATAATCCAAGCCTTTCTTTTAACTTACCACCAATCTCAATTGTGTTTTTTGCCTCACGTCAGACGCAACCGAGTATTGACACTGGTCCCACTCAAAATAAGCATAGATCACCATGAGAGAAATTTTACGAAATCACTCGGTGGGGAGGGGTTTGAAACACACTACGGGCAGAATATCACTGGGTTGATTGCTGTTCTGAGACAAATTATCCATCACGCAGACTAGCGACTGAATATCACAAGTTGAACTGTAATTCGAAGACAAATTCCACACGAAGTTCGTCCGCGAGTCTTTTGTAATCCCGCAGTGTTCACCGTCGACGCGTGCGCCTTTTTTCGTTCACGGTAGAGCATGTGTTTCATCCCGTTTCACTACAATCCTAGTTAGGTAATGGAGCTGAGGCTAACAACAGTAACTAGAACCGCCACGTACACATGCATGCTTAATGGTTATACAACCTGAGACTGTTGTGAATAACTTGATTTTTGGCCCTTTGTTCACACTCAGTGTTCTGATTATCTTTAGAATCGGTATTAGTCAATGCTTACAATGCGAACGTACTTCGGGCTCTCTCAGTGCAGCGGAATAGGCAAAGTTACGCGACAGGATGCCCCTAGACTCGTATTCGCACAGCTTGAGACGATACGAGGCTTTGCGACGACGAACAACGGCGGGGAACGGCGTTAAGGTGGTAAAGATATGCTGGCAGACAGATCCCATGTGGGTCGGGTTTAAATATAAATGTGTAAGGCAAAGCAAATAAAACACCATGAACCAAAAAGGTCCAGTGGGATACAACACTAACGACAAAATATTACTGGTGCGATTGCCAAGCGTGACATACTGATCAACACTGGAACTCCTGGTAAGTCGGTTTTGACACGAAACTTGTGTTCCCAGAAGTGCCCATTAACTGGACAAACGTAATAATCAGCGTGACTATCTCTCCGCTTTTGGACTGGGGTCCAGCACACCTTTTTAGCCCTTCTGTTGAAGACACTAAACGTTCTGGCAGTGAACCGAAAGAAATCGTATTTTTGTAATCGTTCAAGTGAGGCCAATCGAAGAGGTGTGACCGCTGGACACGGTCCGTTCTTTTTATTCATCCATCAAGTAGCTTATTTTCGCCTTTTTGCCGAGCTTGGCAGTTTTTTGCAAACCTTGTCTCACCAACCCAGATGACATCTTCACAGTGGTTGTCTGTTTATTAACTGCACTCATTTTTGATTCCCTCCTGTCCTGTGTTTCTCTTCTGCTACCAATTTTAGACTGGCTGCAAATCCGAACCCCGGTCAAATGGAGAAACTTCATTCAAAGATCCACCAACCAAGCCGATACCGCAACAGCAGCAGCAACAGCTCAACTATATAGAACCGTGTAATTTGGACTTGGGTTCCAACACGACGACGACGACGAACAGCTTGACCATAAACCGATCAACCACTAATTCGGTTGGACCCAACCCGACTTCCTCGTCCGCTCACCCTGTCTCGACGGATAACGGTCCGACGGGAGCGTTAGGCAAGCTACGGGTCAATCCTGCCATGCCGGGTAGTACGGAGGAGGACGACCGTATTGAGTACAAGGAGATTGATCCAATCAGTACGAACGCATTGGCTATTGTCACAAAACACTATTTGGACGATAATAATGATGATGGTGACGATGTGGGTTGCCCACGCTGAACCGCGGCGTGTGTGGAACAGTTGTTTCCTCCTAATTCTTGTTTCGTTCCGTCCACCGCTTTTGCAGGACGAATTGCTATCCTTTGTGAAAATAGAACAAGCGTTTCACGTGTCCCACCTTTACACCCGTTGCTCATTGCATGGGTGTCCGTTGTCCCTCCCCCTCGTGCCTTGTGTGATGATTTATCGGATCCCGTGTACAGAATCTGCTTTGATTGTTTTTCTCATGTCACAGTTCATTGTACCTGCAACCACATGCACGCACACAGACATATTCCATTCCCGGGATAGGGTATTTTTCATCCATAAACAACCCTCAGTGTTTTGTCATTCCGTCCCAACGAGCTTGCCATTCAATTGTGTTCAGTCATCTCAAATCTACATACAGAAACAAACTACTCATCCTTCGAAGGTCATGCTTCAAATCTCTCTCTAGGTGTGTCTTCGGAAAACCAAATGCGTATTTCCTGTTTTTTTTTATTATAAATTTGCCAACGATCTGAAGCTGTTGTTCTTTTTTGTTCCACATTCAAGTACATTAATGTTATAAACGGAATAAGGATAGGTGAGACCGGCAGTCTCTTCACCGAAACTGACTTCGTAAGCCCTGAGACTTGGTGGTCGACGACCGATAGGGGTCCTAACAGGACAAGAGCAGTATCCATGCAATACCATCAACGCAGTTCTCTAACGGCAAGGTAGCAGGATTCAGACCACCACATGCTAGTGATGGAGACGGCTTGAATATAAACGCAAACAGTACTGTGCTGCTACCTTCCCCATGATATGCCTCAAACACTTGACCTAGTTCATTCCTTCATGTAATCGTATTCCAACAGGACTATCACTCCATTCAAATGTGCAGCCAAAAGACAGCAACCCGAACTGTCGCACGAAAGTGCATTTTTAATGGTTTCAAAAACTGAAACCGAGAGAAAAGGTTAACACATTCGATTAATGTGGCTTATGCACGGTTTCAATATGTACCTGGTAATTTCACCTTACAACTATCCAGTTTGTCTTCAAAAGTGTTTTAGCTTATCAATTAAGTGGTTGATCATTCCAGAATGTGATTTAGGCACCGCGCTCATCCAAATGATCTGGTGCGGATTATTGACTTTCATGTGATGATTTTGCAAATGGTTTCATTAGGGCGCCAAATGTACTGTGCGTGGCTTTCGAGTGCGTGCCCTACCGCACTCGTGCACAATGCTCATCTCGTTCAGTTGTTTTATAACTGTCAATAAAGATGCGCTATCTGTAATTGTCCGATAAAACCTTCCGATTGACGGAGTAACGCTTGATCGCACCCAATTGCTTCATACAACTGTCACTCAACCAAGTTCACGCACTGGCCAAGCGTGCGCTCGTATTACTGTGTGCTGACAACTTTTCCCACACTCGAATGTGGTCCAGTGATTTGGGACCCTGTTATTAATTGATCAAGGCGACTTGGTCCTCGGATACGAATCAACGCTAACCAGTCAGCTCACTGTGGTGATCCATACCCACGTGATGACACACGTACGCTTCGCGGCTTCTGACTAGACGCCATTGGTGGATCGTGCCCGCCAGTCTGAGACAGTGCAGACAGAATCAGAATTAAGCAAGCAATACTGCAATGCGATTGGTAGAAGCCTAGATAACCAATGCTCTTCTGTTGTACATATTATTTAATCGCCTTCATTTATTCCAATAAACGAACC